GATTTCTATCCGAAAAAATTTGAAACTGATTTGAACGGGAAAAAGAATGACTGGGAAGCGGTGGTTTTGATTCCATTTATAAAAGAAGACCGTCTTTTGCAAGCTGTAGCTACCAAGGAGTCGCTTCTAACCGATGAGGTTGGTTTTGTTTCTGTGTTCGGCTGTTTTTAAAATGTAGCGAGAAGATAAGTGCAAGCTGGCGATGTGCAGCCAGAATAGAAGGGCCTGGCATGATTGCACCTGGAGTGTGGATGCATCTTAATAGCATCGGAGCTGTGGCTGGCATCTCGCACTGACATGGTTTGCTAATTGTTGTTGTGTTTTATATGCATCCTATGTGGACTGTTTTAAGGAACGACAAAGAAATACACATGGACCGCACTTACTATTTTGTCATGAACCATCATCGACTCAGTTTGTGCCGTCTTCACTGCCTGGCATTTTTCCCGATTTGTATGGATCTACGGCGAAGTATTCTTTTCAGTATTGGTATTTTGCTGTGTCTTATACTGTTCAGGGTCTGCACACTTTTCAAGACCGCACTTTGGTAGGAAGCATCCGTTTAAAGCTTCGGCTGTCTGATCAGATCTTCAGCTAGTAATAATCTCACGTGAAATTTTACTGTGACGGTAGCTGAGATCTGGGCATACATGCAGCTGGATTTAAATTCCCAGGGTCGAACATTGAAGAAACATTTTCCCAAATTTCAGCCTTCTCTATTGTCAGGCTTCTGGCTATTCTGGCCACTGATTAGAGAAAGTCGAACTCACACTTACAAATAAGCGTAATACTTTTGAATGGCAGGTTACATATATCACCTTACTGGTTTCTCCACCTTCGAGCAGTCAGGAAGTTTCGAATTTTTTTGGCTTCCGATACGAGCGTTTTTTTTTTCAGAGTGCAGGAAATTGGGATGAACGAATTTCGCATTCCGCGCACTGAGGTTGTATATGGCCTGTTGCCGGGGGTCAGACTAGATGTTGTTTTTCCGGGCTTTCCGACAATGAAACGTATTGAACACACAGCAGAACTTCGCTTTGCTGACATCAAAGTGTTCCAGCAACCATCAAAAAAGCAGTCAATGATTCTCAAAATTCCGAAGAGATCTGATTTTGACAAGGTTGATTTAACTTATTATGCACTTAAACATGAGCTAAATATTTTTATTTAACGCCTGCAGACGTGTGCTCTGACAGAAAATAATTGAGGGACGCTGTATTCCAGTGGCTTTTTTCAAAAATTTTCGTAGTGACTCGATAAATTCATTGGTACTGAGGTCTAAAAGGTTAAACACAGCGAATAAAAACTGGGGGAGAGGGAAGAGGGAAGGGTGCATGAATAGCAAAAGGAAGACGTACAGAATTGGTGTCTCTCTGGTGTGATTCGATCTTTTGAATCAGTTGCTTAGGCATAGTAGCCTTACTGGGCTTGTCACCAGTAGTGCTCGCGAGTGTTGCTTTACAGCTGGAGTAAGACAGTTCACTTCGCTTGCTTTCCGTTGATGCAGGTGAGAACTTAATAAATTTGCTGTACGAACTAGTCAGAATTATTTTGCCAACAGCCGGAAAAAATTGCTTTCCTTCAACAGTTCTCGTACCTAAATCTTAATCTGTGCAGTTTGGCGGTTGTTGCGTCATCCCGAGAAGAAGAAGCATTCCTTGGAATGGTTTTTATTA